AGAGAGAGAGAGAGAGAGAGAGAGAGAGAGAGAGAGAGAGAGAAAGAGGAACAGAGGAGAATTAAGGACAAATTGAAAACGATATTTAACTTTATTACTCTTACCTGATCTTGGTCGTTTCATCGGTTCCATATTAGGCGTTAAACGATTCATATCATTTATCAAGGGATCATGACGTTGCTGTTGTTGCGTATGATGGTGTATAACCGATGATGACGTCGTACCGAAATTGGGTGAGTTCTCGGGTGAGTTGTCATGACATAGAAATACACTGATTTCACCATTATTTTCAGCCTTCACATGTATTTCACGTGGATTACGTGAATCAGGTAACTACGTCGAAAAAATAATCGCAACAAGAAGAGAGAAAAACAAATATTAAAAAAATAAAAAAAGAAAGAAGCAAAATGAAATTAAACTGATATTTAATGAATGTGTGTTAATGATGTTGCCCGAAATGCAAATGATTCCAATGTGAACAAATCGAATGCAAAATGCCGGCTGCCGGTTTGTCTTTGCGAATATTTTTGAATTTTAATCTTACGCATGTATGTGTTTATACATACATTGTCTGTAAATATATGTAAGCGTTTAACTATATCTGTGGATTTGAATAGACATGCCTACGTCCGTCTATAGGAACTGTGCGTGTGTGATATGTGCTAGTGATGATTTATTTTTAGCTTTCGGGTTGTTTGTATCGAGCGAAAGATAAAGAAGAAGAGAGAGGACAGTCGAATAATTTGAAATAAATTTTGTATACGAATAGTGAGTGAATGCGGAAAGACTTGATTGTTCTTTCCCCTGTAATTTATGCATTATTACTATGAAGGTATGTAAAGTTAACAAGTTGTGTGAAAAACTATTATCTATGATTTAAGTCTCTCGAAACACGGCAAATACAGGCGTGACGGAAATGAAAATGATGTAAGCGACGTTGTTTCGTATTACGCTCTCGTTTACATTGAACGTGAAGTAAAAACTTACCACAAGTTTTGCTTCTGGTGGCGCTTTAATAATTATAATGATTTGATCCTTAAACAGATCGACATTTAATAAATCACTTTGGGTGACATAAGCCAATTGATCATTACGCGATATCTCGCCATGCAATTCATTGCGTATTTGATCGATTAGCGTATTCAATTCATTCTCTTTTTGTTCCAGACGTTCGCTTTCCGACTTGATATCGTTGGTTCGATCGGCACTGTGAAATGAATTGCCGCATTTCCATTGTATGTTATTTTTGGACTTCTTTTCAAGTATACCGATGCCCTCCAGAACGTTTGTAATATCATAAATGCGTCGCTTTTGCACTGATAATTTACTGGAGGCGTCATTTAAATCGACAACACCATCCGGCGATTCTTGCAATAATTCTACGAATTTTTTGGTTAATATACCTAATGAGGTGTCGGCACGATTACCTTCCGGCGTACGTTTTGCAACCGAAGAGACCACTGAACTGCCACCATGGCCCGAATTTGAGTGAGTGGAAGGTGTTACTGCTTTAAAATAATAAGAAGGAGCTATTAGAGCTGAAGATGAAGAGGTAGAAGAAGCCGACGAAGGTGGTCGGGCTGGTTGTGGGGAAGGAACAGTAAAATTACTGGTATGCTGTTGCTTTATACTGCTAGTAGAGCGTACCACTACATGTTGCTGCTGCTGTTGCTGTTGTGGTTGCTGATGCTGCGATTGATAAGGCGTTTGATGTTGTAAACTATGTTTTGCTTGCTTTCTGGAGTGACCGTCGGTTATAGGTATGCGCCGTTTAACCTGCAAGGAAAAAAAAATTTATAAGAAACGATTGAAGGGGAAAAAGTAAGTGCTGCAAGAGAATTATCACTTAACCTTATAATATTGTGTCATATCCGTAGATTTGTATTTTTGTTGTTGTTGTTGCTGTTGTTGTTGCGTTTCTTGTGAGGCAGGTATACTAGCTGTAGTTGTTATTAATGCGTTGGCAACTTGATGACTACCTACTACCGTGGTAGACGATACGGAAGGCGGTGTCAAAGATACACCATAGCCATGATCCAATAAATGAGTGGCCATGGTGGTTGGCGTATCACCACTATCAGAAGATGTAGAGTGCTGCTTTCGTTGCGGTTGCTGTTGAGTTGTTGTCATAAAAATTCGTGTACCTTTCGCATTTGTTCCCCGCGTTGTAACAGAGGAGCTGCTACTGCTTTTCGCAGTAGCGGCCACATTTTCATAGGACAGTTTACGTATCGCATTAGAAGAGCTTGAGCCCGCTGAATTGTTCTGATAGACATTACTACTGGTGGCTGCAGTGGTTGTTGTAGTATTAATGAAATACTTTGACATTTTACAAATTTTGCGTTTCAAGCGCAATTTAGTGCTGCTATAACTACTACTACTACTACTACTGCTGCTGCTGCTGCTAACGTTGTTGCTAAGGTACGAGTTAGTCGATTAGTAGCAGTCGTCTGTGTTCTCGTTTTATACAATTATTGAAGAGAATTTCCTTTTGTCCTCTTTCTCTTTGATTTGTTAGAGTTTTCTTTGCGCATCGACCAAAGCACAGTTATTATAATTTCGGTATTTAATAATCTGTTTCACAATCTATTTTTCATTTGTTTTCGCAGCATTTTTCTAATCGGTTTCTTTTGCTCTCTTTTTTTATATTCTTACGGGTTGTATGTGTGTTGGCGTTAAAATACTTTTTTATTTTGTTTAAATTTCGTTTTGCTTATTAAAAATGTTTTTTTTTTTGTTATTTGTTTTTTTTTAGTTTTTGAAACTATTCTCTTAATAATAAAAAAAATTATATTAAAAAATTATTTAATTATGATTATTATTTTGTGTTTATCTTTTTTATCTTTTGCTTTTCCAAATTTTCCAATTGAGCGATCTGGGTATAAAAATCGTTGATTTACAACAACTCTTTGAATGTTGTTGATTCGATGCTTAACACATTGTTTTCCTTCTCGCCTTTCCTTTTTTTCTTAGTTCTTTTATCTTATTTCGATTTTCATTCGATATTTTTCGAATAAAATCTCTTCGTATTTCTTAGCAAATCAGTCCGTTTTTTTGTATATATATATACATATATATATACATACAAATATATATGTGTGTGTGCAAAACATTCCGTTTTTCTCGTGCGTGCAGGAGTATGATGCGGTCTGCTGTTGTTAATATTATTATTATTGTTGTTGCTTTTTTTGTTGTATTGTACTTTATAAATGTATTTTTCCTAATTTCTAAATTAGCACCTAAGGATTCATCTGTACATCTGCGAAAGAGACAAGAGAAAAAAAGGTTTTTAATTCAATTCAATATACAATTATTAAGAGTTTAATGTGGAAACTAGGAAGAAAAGAACTTAAAACAGGCAAGAAAATTATATTCGATCGTGACCGAATCTTTTATACCCATCACCTTTATGCAAAATAAGGCAAAAAAAATTAAAAAAACTAAACTTTCATTCTCTGTAATATTGAGGTCGACCGGCTATTGTTTTTCTTGCTCTTGTCTGTGCGTGCGAGCGTTGTCGACGTCTCATTTGTAAAGTTTAGTCTAGTTCCAATGAGAAAATGTTTACTACGAGCACTACGCAGAAAGTCAGTCACTACGCAGAGAGTCGGATGGACAGACGGGCATGTTTAGGAGGATTTCAAATTTGAAACTGGCGAAGAATTTACACACTTTTTAGAATTTTTCGAAGCTTGTTTCTGCGTGTTTGCAAAATGGAGGTGCACCCGGCTTACATAGTACAGTAGGCGTGTCCGTCGACCGATTTCGTTCATTTTCAAACATCAAACTACGTCCAAGAATCTTCAATGTTTTTGCCGCATTTGACATCGACAGCTTCGTTTCTGCGGACAGAAGAATATTTACAATGGAATCTAAAGACAGACGCATATGCTTAAATCGATTCAGAACTTGATGCTGATCAAGAATTTGTATACATTGTGGGTCTCTAAAACTTTCTTCTGAGCGATGCAAATGTTTTGACGGAATTAGTATACTCGTCACCCTTCTGTGATGGGTATAACAAAAAAATCGAAAATAGAAAATAAGTAGCCCACGAAACCTGAAAAGTAACCGTTCTTTTAACACATCGCAAGCCCTATGCATTAAAAACCTTATTTACACGCTGCATTTACTCACGTGTAATATTTTGTTAATTTTCGACGAACGTTTAGGTTAATTCATGTGCTAGATTTTCCTAACCTAGGAATTTCCTTAAAGAGAAACTTAAGACTCTTAATCTGGGATTGTAAGACGAACGTTCTAAAACTTTAAGGTAGTAATTGAGGGAAAATTCTTTTTTGTTAATAGTGATCGAATTCTTCTTCCTCTGAAAGAAAAATTAGAGATAACGTTTGTTTTTCTAAATCAAACTCGTGCTTTCTTTAGCACGGTTCCTTGGGCTCATTCTTCACACTTATACAATGATGAATAAAATTTTGAAAAAATTTTTGAGAGAGAGAAGACGAATCCTGGATACTCAAAACCATTCATTTAGTTAACGGACGTATAGATGCTTCTGGGACTTTTTAGATGGCTTCGATAAATATTTACATCGATGGTTGCTATCTTTTCTTTTTTTGATTTGTTTGGAAATGGATTGGACCAGTTAAATTAATATTAGATCCATAATGAAAACTTTGAGCATAGGTATAGACTGATGTGGCAGAGTGTTCGCTATGAGAAGCTCTGTTCCGCTGTCAATCCATAAATCACCGTACTTGGTACTGTACAGTCAAATATCCGGCTAGAAATGCCGACAAAAGAAAAAGTGTAGGCGATTTGTGATTGTAATAGAAATTATAAATGTAAAATTAGAACGAAAAGTCAGCTGATTTAATAAAGGCAGTCAGTTGCTTCAAATGCCTAAAGTTGCCAGCACGAAAAATTTCATATAAATTGTTATACAAGTTAAACTGAAAGACTCTCTAAGGATGTCAAACCTTCTGCACTCAAAAATAAGATGCTCGGCAGACTCAGTAATATTGCAATCTTCACAGATGGCAGTGGAGGAGACTTTGATCATTTTAAAATAAACCTTGTCGTAAGTGTGATTACTTATAAGACGGTGAAGTTGCAAGTCGATTGCAAGTTTTATTAATCTTATTTGTCATTAATATAAGTAGTCAGTTAGAGCTCTTTGGCAGTCGAATCGAATCAATCTTTTTGTCAGTAGTAGAATCATTTTTCAAATTTCAGTCTCTTGTCTTGATTCTTTACGATGATTCTTGTCAGTTGTCCACAATTTATATTTCTCCTTCCTTTTCTTCCCATTTCAAAGAATGCAAAAAAATAATGCCATTTTTATAACCATCACCGAAGGATGAGAGATAAGGAATATATTAATTTTTTCATTTGCAAAAAGCGTTGGAGACCCCGTCAAGTATATATATTCTTGATCAGCATCAAATTATAAATTGATTTAAAGATGTCCGTCTGTCCACTTGTCTGTCCGAGCTATGTCTAAGGTAAAATGAAGCTTTCAGCTTCAAAGTTTGGCGCAAGTAATGGAAGTTCTTGCTCGCACGTTGGTATTGAAAATAAGACAAATTGATCAAAGCATAGGCCCACAGTAGAGCGTAAACTGAAGGCACCTTCGCTTCTCTAATTAAAAATTTTCAGACTTTTGCTTACTATTCATAACTTATTAAAGCAATGTTCTATATTTGCTCTATAAAGGGTCTCATTATTCATACGCAAAAATCGCCCCGCCCACATAAAGTTATAAATAATTAAATTTTTTTTCTTTTTTGACATTTTCTGCTTATTACTCATAAGGCAAACGAGAAAGAATGTTGAACATTATATTGTACAATTCTCACTTCAAGATATACATACATATATAATAACAAGATGACTAGTAGAATAGAATACGACAAGATAAATACGTTACTTATAATTTCAATATCGTGAACGTTCGACGTGATTTTTGCTGCACCAATGTTCAAGTTAAATTGCGCAGGTATGTCCAATATCAGGATATATATATATATCTGTGATAGACATCTATGTCTGTCTATCACATCATAAGCGTCATTAGTGTTTCGGCTGTGCTTGCTTTTGTACGTCACAAACAACATGTGCACAGTTCAAAAGAAGATCGAAAACAGGTGGGTGGAAAACAAAAAGCATCTCGAGCGCCCGTCAACCTCTACCGATGAAAGCCGCATCAAACAAATCAAAGATTCGGTAGCTTGCTAACGTTGTTGCCATTTTAAGCAAATCAGTCCACAGCATTTGAAAAGCATCAATTCTCGGTTGGTACCACATACACTCAATTTCTGCTTTCGTTCTTCGAGACCATTTGCCTAAAAATTCAGACCACATCCTTCCACAATCACCGTATTCACCTGATTTAGCTCCATGTGACCTTGGCTATTTTCTAAACTCAAACGACCTCCAGTCCAATTTTAACTCGATTGAAGATAGGCAGGCTGAATCGTAGAAAACTTTAAAGGCCATTCCGGAACTCGATTATAAAAACCGTCTCAAAAAACTTTGCCATAAGTGTATATTATCTGACGGGGAATTACTTTGAAGGCGGTGAAATAGATTTAGATACAGATACAATTAAATTAATTTTGGATCACAGAGACAGAGTATATAGATAGAAGACGGTTTTTTTTGCCCGTAAGTTAGAACGGACACGCCATATAAATATTAGTTTTTAATCTAACAAAAAATTTAAAAAAAAAAATCAGCCATGAACACGAGAATGAAAATTTTAGTTTTCCTTTTTTTTTGCATTTTTTTTTTTGGATAACGGTGATGGGTATAAAAGTTTTGGCTGCGGAGGTATCATACATAATTTTTTATTACATAATTCTCTTATTTATTTTTCTGTAAAATTTTTCTAAACATTTCAAGAATATTTATTTATGGCTAAATTTTGCAAATTAATAATAAATAGGCTGTGATAGATAAAGTAATCTAAATAATTTTACTTAAAAGGAATTGAAGTAATTCTTTATATATTGCCCACGGAAAGCCTCGGCGTAGTCCATCTAAAGTCTAAAGTAAGAAATCCAACATGTAGTTAAATATGATTAAGGAAAAGAACTATAAAACTGTCTTAAGCCTTGAAAATTTAGGCTGTTTGGTGTTTTAAATTTCTTAAGCTTTTCAGCTGATTGCTTACAGTGTTAACTCTTGTTTTTAAGTAGCAGAATGTCCAACATAGCAGTAAAAGGCCTTGAAGAAAAAATTCGAGGCGCTGAACTAAAATAAACTATTTCTCCGAAATTATAATCATCAGCAGGCAAAGCTTCTTCTGACTATCATTTAAATTTAAAGATATATTCAAGTTTGAATTTCATTTATCTATTTCGTGGATAATTGCAAAATTTGCGATATTTGTTCATTAAGTTGCTTTATCACGGAATTCATGCACTGCCAGAAAGTTAGGAAAAAGAGTAGCTAACAGATCGAAAGAAAGCAACACTAATCATTTCCAAAAGGTCATATGCTATGACTACGTAGTGCAACAGCACTGCAGCATTATGTTCACTCCCTCATGAGAATCTTATTTCCCCGTAATCCCCCCGTAATTCCTCTGTTTATATCACTGGCGGGACGTCATTTATAAAAATATAAAAAAGAGGAATAGGGCGCGTTCACAGCCTTCAACAGTTAGTGAGCTGACAAATAAATCATCTTAATCGGTGGTCGTTCTCCTCCCGAAGCCTCTTCAATAGTTAGTACACTGCGAAATAAATCATCCCATTTGGGGCCATATTCATCTAAAAGCGTTGATTA